GGGAGGGGAGGGAAGAGAGGAGAAGAAGAAATATCACAACACAAACTTTGCATTTCTTGTAATGTCTAATTCCACCCCAAAGCCACCTAGTACAGGGCTGGCCCACCCATGAGGCAAGGTGAGGCGACTGCCTCAGGAGGCAGGATCCACAGTAGCCCCCTCTGGGCATTAGGAGTCGCTGCCGGTCTCCTCCCATCCCTAGGGAAGAAATGACAGGGGCTGCCCTCTAGGGTTTCTTGGGTTCTGGACTCACCTAGCATGATTCAGAGCAGGCCCTTTCTCCCCCTGCAATGGCCTTTGGCTGCCACTTCAACTGTCAGGTAAAGTTGATTCAATTCGCCTCCTTGTTCCCAATGTAGATCTTCACTCACCCCTTCTTCCCTGGATGAAGGGGACGTCTCAGGTGACAAAATATATTGACCTAGTAGCGTATTCATGGCAGACTTGGGATTTGAAATGGGATCTCTAGCTCACCATCAGTCGCTACCCTATAGCAACCCAGTAGGCAAGTGTCCACAGGGGAGAAATACTTGCCGATTCATCACAACTTGTGAATTGGATTTGGAGATGTGAGGAGCCTCAAAGAAAAACGCGGGCAGTCCATTTTTGCTCTTGGGAACTGTGAGCTGGTACATCAGTAAGTTCTAGCTGTTGTCTGTGCTAAACACCCAGCCTCTTTGTTTCCATATTCCCAAAGACCTCAGCACAATAGGACACAACTCCCTGCTCTGTAGATTAGCCACAACATCACAAGTGGTGGTGGCACTCTCTCATTCTTGCAGGGGCATAACTCTTTTGATAGGGAATTCAGTGCCCCTGGGGCAGCAGGAGTAGGCCACAACAGAAGCAAGAGGGGGGAACTGGCATGGTTTGCAGAAGTACCAAAAGTATTTTTAAAGTCACCAAAAGGTGGCAAAACCCACACACGAAAAGGCCAGTGAGGATTGAGTATGCTCACTTTCCATCAGGAGCCACTGAATGTTGAATGTCAACTGGAAAAGAAAAATGGAAAATAGATAGAGGATATTGATTTCACTTACTTGAACTCCTAACAGTTTGTAGTAACCCAGAAGAAGGCATTATTGGCTGGCTGGCTGGCTGAGAGGAATCCTGAACAAGATGATTCCTGTTGGGGTTTGAGTGTAGTAGTAGTAGTAGTAGTAGTAGTATTAACTACTTGCATGCCAAAAATGGTTTCTAAGCAGTTTATAAGTAGTAAATCAATTATAAAATAGTCATACATGATGAAAATACACAATAAGAAAATTTCATCAAAACATTAAAAACACTCATAATTAAAATATACGATACAACAAGCTCATTGAAAAGCATAACAATTAAAACAGTTAAAAGAACAATTGGAACATTAGATCTTAACGTTCCAAGCTCAAGGTGTGTCTTCAAGAGCCGGCAGAATGCCAATACTGATGGGCTTCTCATGGACCACAACACTGGTGCCACCAATGAAAAAGCCTGCCTCCATGTTACTGTCTTAGTGATAAGGCTGTGGCATTTGTTGCACAGCCAACCTGCGTTTTTGCATTAGCGACAGTAATCAAAATTCCCGTACTAGTTTCTTGTCAGTGCTGCTACTAGATAACATGACATGCAATAAATTTTTCATGGAAGTCATTAGACTGACTATTAAATTCTAGCTGATGTGTTACGTCTAATGTTTTGTTGGTGGTCATGCCAGTTTTTCATATATTTTGGCACCTCTGTTCTTTGAGAGTGGGGAAGGGTGAACAGTAGAGGGCAGGGCATCCAATTTGAAAGAGCGATGCACAATTGGGTAGGGCTCTCAGAAGGATCTCATAATTCCTGCTACGAGTGATGTTTTCATTCTTCAGATAACACAGCCCACTCCAGAGAGCTGGCATACTCCTAAGTATATAAGCGCGTATGGAGCTCCATCAAACAGGCCCTGGAGCAGAGCATTAAATCTCATTGTGATTTACTGTCTTCATTTCTCTGCCAGGTATTTCTCTTTGGGGATTGCAAGCCAATAGCTAAGGGCTGTGCTCCCAGGGAGGAGATAATTTCTTAGCCCTTTAATGCAGCTTGATCTCATTTCCATGTATCACGTCATGAAATGAAGGCAGGGGTGGTTTATTTTTTATTTTTAGAACCACTCTTTCAGAATTGGCCAGCTCAAGTAAGAAAAGTTGGATGAAAGGAAGCAGTTCACAATCATTCTGGAATCTTGCACACTTTAAAGCTAGGAGAAAGAAGCGCACACATTTCACTACCTAGCCCTAAGAGTAAGCCAACTGTGTCCTATACCATTGTAAACAGATTTTCAAACCTCCTGGGAGATAAAACAGCTGGCCAGAATTTAACAGCAAAAGAGGTAGCACAGGAATATTAAAACTTCCCTTCCCCTACCTCTGCCTTCTCCAGTGAAAAACACCTTCTCAAGACTACTTTGAACGGAGAAAGGGCCAATCAGTGCTTTGCTACACAATTGCAGTGTAAGATGTAGCTTTCCACTTAAGAGTTATGTTTGATCAAATGCAAACAGTGATATTACCAGATTAGCTCTCACCAAATTATCCACTTTATTTGTGCAGTTCAATAACATTCAGCATTATTCCTTATTATTAGTAGGAAGTCTTAAGCATGTATCACAAAGGTTGAAATGTAGTTGGAACAGATGGGTGATTCCTCTCCAGTGAGTATACAATTCCTTTTTGGGTAGCAATAACCATTAATCAAATGTATTCTGTGAATTACGCATGAACAATCAATTATTCATAGTCTCCTGTTTTCTGACTTAAAAACCAAAACCAAAAAAACAATTCCCCTCATGGCATATTCAGTATGTTGTGATAAAAACATTATCAATTCCTATTTGGCATTCTGACTTACCTGACTGAACAGGGCAGCAAAGAGAAAGGTGACATTGACATTTACTGGGTGAAATAAGAGCTTGGAAAATTATATGCAAGGTTCAGGTAGAGCAGGTGACTGTAAAAATTGCATTTTAACACCTGGAATGGAAAAACATTTCCCTAAATGACTGTAGTATGTTATCTGTAAAATAGCCGGACGTGTGTGTTTTCAAAACACTTTTCTCTGAAAGTTGCCAAATTAGGATTCTGGAAGAGGGTCATAATTTCGTTTTGTATGTTAAAATCATAATCGAAACTTGATTAAATATCACTTATGCTGGGAAATATATAAAAGGTAATTGTTTGTATGCCCCTGTAAGGGTCATGTTGGCTCCTGCTTGAGGCAGAATGCCTACCTGCACCATGTAAAAGCAGTTTATGGTGATGAGCATCTTTAGGACTAAACGGGTTATTTAGGAGATGGGTTTAACCACCACCTTACTTGCATTGCCCCTGATTGATCAGACATAACCTGATTGGTCCTTGACTCTTTCTCATCTTGAATCAGTTTTTTACAGCCTTGTGTTGTGAGCAGTTATGTATAACAAGTTCCTTCCTCTTCTTTGCAAGGTTGTGATGCCTCCAGCTGAAGTGGAAGTGCTTTTTGTACCTCCGAAAACAAGTGAAACACAAGTAACCCATGCCAGTGCTGAATGGCGAACCAAAGTGGTATAGCTGATAGAGTGCTGGACTTAGAGCAGGAGGACTTAAGTTCAAATCTGTGTTCAGCCATAAAGGTCATTTGGTGATCTTGGGCCAGTTACTATCTCTTAGTCTAACCTACCTCACCTAGGGATGTTGTGTAGATAAAGAAGAGACTAGATATTGTTCCTTAGAAGACAGGTGTGATACAGATATAATAAATCCCCATTGCAAGAACCAGAAACCAACTATATAATTATGTTTATTAGGTGAAAAATTGCAGTGATGTAAATGATTTGGAGCCAGCACAGGATTCGTAGGCAAAAGTCACAAACCAGCTACATAATTTATTTCACTAGGTGTAGATCTGCAGTGGTGCAGTAGGTCCAGAACCAGCAATACATTGGCAAGAGGAGCAGGGCCGGTTTACTTGTCCTTTCCTACCAAAATGAAGTAGCTTCAGAATCACTGTTGTTTGCACCACTGAAGTTGATGCATCGTGTTAGAACCAATCTTCCTCCTGATTTTCACTGTATCAATGGGGGCACTGATTATTATTTTTTTTCATTTTTAACTTTTTGGGCAGTTAACGAGCACAAGGCCAATGAAGATCACGAAGCACTTTGCACTTGAAAATTGTTATGAGATTTCTCCTGCACTAGGTTACATGACATGTGCAGTGGTCCTAGTGACTTTAAACCAGGCATGGATAATTGTGCACCAGATTTCACGCTCCCTGAATGGTGAAAAATAGTCTCCTCTACTCAGCAAGGGCACATGTGAAAGCTTGCACACCCCCTGATGAATTTGGAATCATGGAAGGCTACTGATGTGCTGCATATATGGGCCAAACACTCAGGGGAAGCGCCTGCCATTCACGACACTTTAGTGGGAATTTTATGCGTAGCACCAAACAGCTCAGCGCTCTCAGATTTAACCACCTGTTAAGAAGTGGGATGGGGGGGACTATGGAAAAAGGACTGTTTTGTTGAAAAGGGTTGAAAGCATTACCAAGCTGGAGTTCCCACGAATAAAAGGAAAATATGAAGAAGAGCTGTGGAAGGGACATGGAAGAGACTTGAGGGCCTCGGATATAAGATTGCCAGGTTAATGTGCTAGATTAATAGGACAAAAAGGACTGACAAAACCGGGACCAGGAGGAAGGGACGCTGGATGAAGATTGGATTGCTTAAGTTTCTATTTAAGTTTCTATTTTTATCATTAGGACTGTTTTACAAAATTGATGAATGTTAGGAAAATGTTGAAATGAAATTACTTGGCTCTTATAAAAATGTCTAAAGAATTAGGTAAGAATGTTATGGTTAGGAGAAGTTGGTTAAAATTAAGATTTAAGTTCTAAACTTTTTTATATGTAAGATACGATGAAAATAGATTAAGGTAATGTGAGGACAGAATATTATGAATTATGGAAAGGATTTGCTGTGATTATTATAAATCAGGATACAGGAAAAGGGAGGAGGAGGAGGTCAAGGAAAGAAGGTATTGAAAGTGGAGAATTGGAGAATGATGGTTTTACTTTTTCTTTTTCTTTTTTTTGTCTTGTTTCTTTTTTTGTGTAATTTAAAAAAAATTCTCAATAAATATCATTTAAAAAAAAAGAAGAAGTGGGATGGGGGAACCTGGGCTTGGATATGGGCACTCCAGACCCAAACTGCTGAATAGCACTGCATTGGCAGATCTATGCCCAGGGAGCCACTATGGCCCATAGCGAGAGTCATATGGCACATGGCGAGAGCCAGTGTGGTGTAGTGGTTAAGAGCAATAGACTCGTAATCTGGTGAACCAGGTTCGCGTCTCTGCTCCTCCACCTGCAGCTGCTGGGTGACCTTGGGCTAGTTACACTTCTCTGAAGTCTCAGCCCCACTCACCTCACAGAGTGTTTGTTGTGGGGGAGGAAGGGAAAGGAGAATGTTAGGCGCTTTGAGACTCCTTCGGGTAGTGATAAAGCGGGGTATCAAATCCAAACTCTTCTTCTTTTTCTTCATATACTTGGGGGGCAATATTGATTGAGAGTGGTTTGCGACTTTTACAGTCATCCCTCCATGGCACCAAATACTCTTGCAAAAGCAAGAATCGCACAAGGCAAGCGTTAAACCATCAACGCATCACTATGTTAAGAGCGCAAGTGAAGCACTATCCTGTAAAACGATAGAGTTTGCATAAGCCCTGGTTGGCCACGCTTTTGCTGACATGTGCTGTTGAGGTTAGCCGCAACCCCGTAGTTAAGTGAAAGAGAGTAATCATCCTCTCAATTTGCTTTGCAGTCTAAGAGAGGATTGCAGGGTAAGGAGACAAATTGTTTTCGTTGCCTTTCAGCAGAAAGTGCTAATGGAATAAGGCCTCTGGTGTTGACTGCTTTCTCTCACTTCCTCTCCACCTCATGTTCTGGTTTGGCCTCCAATCATTAGATGCTAACGGCTGTCTAAGAGCATGTTAGAATACAGACAATAGCTACACATATCGACAGAGCCTTCTTCCCTATCTGGCCAGCCTGTTTGTGCTGCCTGTGCAATGAGAACAAGGGACCAGGACTAGTCCTACCATTAGAAGACTTGTTTACTTGAGATGCAAGTGGGAAGCTTGTGCAGGCAGCGATCCAAATTAACTTTGGCTCTCTGAAAATGACGTTCGTTTCTCTCCAGCTACGCCAGCAAATAATTGTTTGGGGAAAGGGCACATCAACAGCTTCAGGAGGCCATCTCAAGTAATGACATTATAGAATCGACGAAGGTATGTTTGGTTTTTGGAGGCAGATTGCTGGCACAAACGTCTAGGTCTGAGTTGCTGTTGTCAGCTTTGCATCTATGTCTGTTTGTAGTAAAAACGAGGAGGCAGGGAATTATTACACATTTCCACAGAAATCTTCTTTTATGTTTTTTAATAAAAAATGTGGAAGGGGGTGTGTTATATTGGCTTTCTCATTCTTGCTCCTAATTAGCAGTCCACAGTTGCCTGGAAACACAATTTAGTGCCTTGTGTTGGCTGTAGCTTCATAGATAAGAGAATGTTCGGCCTCGTGTGCCTCCTTTACCTCTTTGGCTACACTGGCATTTGTCGTTAGTTTTAATAACATAGCATCTTCTCCTTTTTTCTTCCTTCATTTTAATAAAGTGATACTATGCAGCAGTTGCATCCATACAGCCACCCCGAAGGAGTCTGTTTGTGCAGTAGAATGCAGAGCTGGAGATTAGAGTTCCACAGCTCCAAGAATGATAGTTATTAGAATTTGGCCTCCCGGCTCTGCAAAATGTACCCAGTTCAGGTATAAAATGATTGTTGTAAAGGTAAAGGTACCCCTGCCCGTACGGGCCAGTCGTGTCCGACTCTAGGGTTGTGCGCCCATCTCACTTAAGAGGCCGGGGGCCAGCGCTGTCCGGAGACACTTCCGGGTCATGTGACAAGCTGCATCTCGCAAGCCAGCGCAGCACACGGAAATGCCGTTTACCTTCCCGCTGGTAAGCGGTCCCTATTTATCTACTTGCACCTGGGGGTGCTTTCAAACTGCTAGGTTGGCAGGCACTGGGACCGAGCAACGGGAGCGCACCCCGCCGCGGGGATTCGAACCGCCGACCTAACGATCGGCAAGTCCTAGGCGCTGAGGTTTTACCCACAGCGCCACCCGCATCCCAAAGTTAAAGGTAAAGGTACCCCTGCCCGTACGGGCCAGTCGTGTTCAGGTATAAAATGATTGTTGTAGCAATTATTAATTGGAAAAAACTATTACCAGACCCTGTGACATAGGTTAGGCTGAGAGGCAGTGGCTAGCCCAAGGTCAGCCAATGAGTTTCATGGTAGAATGGGGATCTTTCTTTCTTTGGCGATCACTCATAGCTGAGTAAAATTGTCTTCCATAAACATGGTTTTAAGAGTGGGTCCGTAAGTGATTGTGGGGGCCAATTCTGGATCCACACATCATTCCACATTGGGGTCCTAGATATCCAGGTGGGAGTTGATCATGGTGTAGGTTTGCCAAGCGTACTTTCCTCTTAGCACATTTCTCCCTTGCGTCCTGAGTTCGAGCATCTTCAAAGCCCATGACACCTTTGGTAAAGGCTGTTCTCCAACTGGAGCGTTCGCAGGCCAGTGTTTCCCAGTTGTCGGTGTTTATACGACATTTTTTTAAGATTTGCCTTGAGAGAGTCTTTGAACCTCTTTTGTTGATCACTGGTATTACGCTTTCCATTTTTAAGTCGGAATAGAGTAGTTGCTTTGAAAGACGATAATCAGGCATCCGCACAACATACTCTAACCTGGACTAGGACTTGGGAGATCAGGGTTCAAATCCTCACTCTTCCGTGAAGCTCACTGACTGAACTTAGGCCAGTCTCTGCCTCTCAACCTAACCTAACTCACAGGGCTGATGTGAGAATTAAATGAGTGGGGGAGGGGTAGAGCCACATATGCCACCTTGAACTCCTTGGAGGAAAAAAATGTATTATATAAATGCAGTAAACTAGCCAACAAACAGAAATGGCTAACTGGCAAGCTGTGGGCAAGATCACACAGTTCATTCATAAAGAAAAGTAAGTTGTTTTCCAAAGGTGTGGGAGTGTGAGAGAGATATTTCCATGCTTTAATGCTAACACCCCTCTTTAGATTTTGCATGTGATTGTCAGGGACTGGCTGGGCAACAAGGAGTGGTGGGAGGCCACAGCCAGGGAACGCCCAAGGGAAACTACAGAGGAGGAAGGTTCAGAGCCTAGGGATTGGTGGTGGGACACTGAGGAGAGGTCAGAGGGAGAAGGAGAGTTTGGATACTGAAAGGACAACAGGGTTCAGTGAGCAGGAGGAACCTGGGACAGGGAGCAGTTCAGACTCTGAGGCTGAAGCTGAAGCAGAGGAGGGGCATCAAAAGGCTGCTGCAGGGAATCTCCCTCTCCTGCTGTGACGAGCTCCTCTCCCCCCTTGTCTCTAAACAGGATAATGAGGAGGGTGGAACAGAGGCCAGAGGTGGGCAGATGCAGTTTGAGACTGCTTGGGAAACATCTAGGAGAGGAGGAACCTTAGAAGGGATGGAAAGCAGGGACCTTCAGTCCCGGCAAATGCTCCATAGGGGCAAGACCTACTGGGAAGTGTTGCTGAGTTGTATGCCATTTCATTGAATAAAGAGTTACCTTCACTGACAACGGAGCCCTGCGTCTTTCGGGCTGACCTGCACCTGACTCCTTACCTGTAGAGCCCTATATCTGAAACTGAAGGAGTCTGTTTGTGCAGTAGAAATCAGAGTTGGAGGGCAGATTGTCCTCCACCCAAGAATTCTCGTTATTTCAGTTTGGCTTCCCGCCTCTGCAAAATCTCCCCAGCCTTGGTATAAAATGATTGCTGTAGCGATCATTAATGGAACAAACTATTGCAAATATTCATGGGGCGGGAGGAACCAATCACAGCTATGTCACAGCCTTGTAACTTTTCATAGCTATCTTTTGCTTGGAGTAAATGAGTTTTATTGTAAGCATGAAGGGCAAACATAATAGGCTTTTGGCTTAGTATGAGGAAGCACATCTCTCTGTGTGTGCTTGTGCTTCTCCAACAATGCGTTCTTTGCTGTTGGATCTAAATTATGAAAAGAGAGAAGAATGCAGTGCTGATAACAACCTTAGCAAAGCACTTTCTGATGAAATTCGAAAGTAGATGGGAAGGGAGTCACACTAGGTTGGCCGATTTCATAGAACCAAAGGTAATCAAGTTTGATACTCCATCCATTAATGCCTACTTGCTTTCTGCAGTCCTCAACAGAAAAGAAAGATAGTCACAACAGCAACAAAAAACCACAAAAGACCTGCCCAGGCGACATCTCTCAGAATTTGGGTTTTTTATCCCAGCTTTCCTTGTGCTGCCTTATAGATACTGTGGGATTGGCTGCTGCTGTTTTGACCACTGTTTTTGCTGTGTTAGCATGTTCTAATGTTCATTATTTTTTGCGTATTATTTTGTCCATATTGTAAACCTATGGTGAAGGGTGGTACATTCACCATTCAAAGGATAGGTAGGTCCAACAGGTAGACAACAGCTTCAGAGTGTACCATAGTACGAAAGCCTATAAAAAAAAGAATAAATTAAACGAACTCAGATAGCTCAAGCAGACAGTCTCCCATCTTATGCAATAAAATATTTCATGAAAACATATAAGCCTGTCTGCACCAAATATCTTGTGCCATTTGATTTCACTGTCTTTGCAGCAGTATTCACCAACCTGGAGCCCTCCAGATGTTTTGGGCCATAGCTCCCATCCACACCAAGCAGCATAGCTGTCCTGGCTGAGACTGATGGGTGTTGGAGTCCAAAAAGGCACTAGGTTGTAGAAGCCTGGTGTACAGGATTTCTGTTGCTATGCACTCCTTCCTCCAAGATTTGCTTGATTAGGTTTTTCATCTGGTTTGTTTTTCTAAAATGAGCCTTTTGCACTGTTGCACCTTAATAAATGTGATGCGTTGTGCTGGAGAGAGAGGAACGTTGAGATGGGATTTGAAGTATCTGAGTGAAGTCGTATGCACCAGCCACAATGACACACACTGGATGTAACAGAAATAAAAATGTTTTGATAATGAAGAAGGGGCAGGGCAATGTAGTTGAGACAGTGGGACATTTGCAGTGTATGGGTATGTGTTTAATGGCAAGAAATCCTTGCAAGCCGCAGAGTTCGTTTGATAAGATAAACACCTCCATCCTTCTCTATAAATTGAATCGCTTTTATGCATAAGGTGGGAGAAATGGTATATTTTGGAAAACTGTTATGTCAAGAAAGAGTCACCTGGTTGAACAACAGGTTATACAGGTCTTAGGAGGGGTTTGCTGCAGTTGAGCTTTTTCTGTATGCAGCTTTTTCATCTTTTTATTTTCCTTTATTACATTGATAAATTCTCCCATAACAGATGGAATCTGCTGGGATGGTGGTTCAAGATAAGAAGGTGCGAGGATAGGTCAAGCTTCTCTGTTAAGGCATCAGACAAAAATATAATTGAATTTTCTCTTTGAAAAAGAACAACAAACCAACAGCTATGAGGACCAAATAAGTATTCTTCAAACTTGCTTCCCTGCCATTTCTTCCATTCTCAAGCATCCCTTTGCATTTCCAGACTGTGAAAAGCCATGGATAAATAGTTTGCTATGAAAGCTTGTTGAGGTGTATCTTTTTATAACCAACACTGAATGGCCAGACTAGATGATTTCATGCACAGATTTTGTGACATCCATCTACTCTTTTTTGCTGTTTTATTCATTTTTACGGACGCTTAAAAACATCCGAGACCAGTTTCAAGCATCTAGAAATAGCCGGTCATATTTACTTTGTCAGATGCCTTTTGTAGCCTGATTCCGTCACTACCGAAAACCCCAAGGCTGCCCTAAGCTCCTCCATTCCTGTGTATCACTACAGGATGGAAAACAGTGCAAATTATATTTGTTTGAAAATAGTGGATGAGCCATAGCATCCTGTGTATTCAAAGGATTCAAACCCACACAGTTTGGTCCCAAACTGTCATGAAGAATTAAAAAGATAAACATATGAATACAGCCTGAGGCAAAGCTGCTCTGACCCAGTGTTGTCTACTCTGGCTGGCAGCACCTCTCCGGCGTCTCAGCCAAGGGGGCTTCCCAACCACAATAGCACCTTCTGCATGCAAAACATGTATTCTAAAACTGAGCTATCCCCCCCCCCACCATCACTTTCCACACAACTCTTCATAACATATACAAAGCAGGGGCCTAAAAGGGAAGACAATTGTAAGTAGGTTACATTTTTTTTTCCAGGTAAGTGTTTGGCATTTCTGGTTGTTGGAAGTTAAGTCTAGTTCTTTTAAAGGCCATTGTGCTGAAAATCCTCATGCATATATCAACAGCTCTTGGCAAGGACAGCTTCATTTGCATCCTCTCTTCCTGGCCTTTTCAGTTTGATTATGGAAGTAGCTGGGGACACTCGTTTTCAGTGTTCACATCAAACGAAAGGAAGCCCATTTTCACCGTCCATTTTTAAAACTCCATCCCACCCTGCGGACACACAAACACACACAGAGTTCAGTAGACTAGAATGACAGTCAAAGGACGCCGAAGGGGAAACCTGGGATAACATGCTGTTTAGCTCTGAAGCGCCACGTTAATAATGTGCAGAATCAGACATACCATAAGATACAGCAGGGTAGAGAGCAAGGAAAGAGCAGTGTCCCCTGGCAGACTGGAAAATAAGGCTGACGTACCTTGAGCATCATTGCTGTGTTTGTGTGGGAGATGGAGACACTGATGGATGGATGCAATGACTGATCGGTTTTAGGGTAATAGAATGTGTTTGCATATAGGTATAGATGTATAAATTAGTGGCTCGTACAGCATGGCTTTCTGAGTGAATGTTTTCTTTTCTGCTATAATCTATCCTGAGAATTTCTGATTATCCAACTCTCCAGTGGCGTTGCTACTTATTTTCCGTTTTCCTTTTAAGTAGAAAAAAAGGAAAAGAAAAGTGGATGAAGCAATTTAGGCTTAGATCCTCTTGATGAAGAGGGTTGATTTAGGAAGACAGGAAGCTGCCCTATACTAAGTCAGCTCATTAGTCCATCTTCAGCATTTCAAACAGGGCCTCCCCTAGCCTTACCTGAGGTGTTCTGTGCACCAAGCAGATGCTCTGCTATTGAGCTGTGGTCCTTCCCGCTTTCATGCCACTTTTCCCTGTCTGAAGAAATGTACTGGATGCCCAAGAGCAGTTTGCAGCTATTTGCATT